CGAGCTGACCAGATAAATTGGCACAGAACTCTTCTGCCACGTCGACCTCCGATCTCTGCTGAGAGAGAGGGCTGGAGCCTTGAATGGAGACCGCTGAATGGGAGCTGTCCGGAGCCCTCTTATTGTCCTCCACAAGTGTGATAATGGCTTGCGGGGATCTAACGACGCGCAGAAGGCTGCCCAACGTTGTGACTATAGCTTGTCTATGCGGCGTTGTATCTTCTTCTGAAGACGCCTAGCGATTCGTGAATCGTAGATTACTTTCGTGCGTTGGTACCTTCGTTCCGCACGCTGTCGGAGAGCACGAAGTCGTTTTCATTCCACATCAAAGTCGGTTACTCTCGAAGAGCATGTGAGGGTGCACACCGTGTCTTGCACTGTGGACTTGATCACCTCTTCTAAGTCGTGAGGTGTTCTCTTGACAGCGTTCTTCCATGAGAGATTCAAACTTGGTCCAGTCCACTCTTTGGATAGTTTCGCGTACATTGCAAGGTGATAATCCTCTGATCTTGACATATGTAGGAATGTGGTCGCTCCCATGTGTTTCTATGTCCGCAAACCATCCGGCACATCTGACGAGACTTCGAGAAACAAAAGACAAGTCAAGGCAGCTGCTGTATCTAGGGCCACGTAAAAATGTTGGGCTTCCATCATTTAACAAGCACAGCTTGTTGTCTGAAGCAAACGTTATCAGACTTCTACCCTTTGCGCTGATCTTCGGGCTCCCACATAGCGTATGGTGGGCGTTAAAGTCTCCGATGATGACCCATGGGCCAGAAGTGGATGATAGGATGTGTCCTAGTCTTCTGTGGTCAAATCTATTTGATGGCGACAGGTATGCACCGACAACAGTGATGGTAAGACCCTTTTTCTTCACTGTTAAGCATATATATTGGTTATCGTTGTCAGGTGGTACTGACCAAAGAATGTAAGTCAGGTCACGGCGAATGAACAGCAAGACCTTGCTGTTTCCATTATAACAAGCCGACAGAAATGATTCGTATCCGGAGAGTCTGATAGCGCTCGATAAATTTGGCTCGCAGATGACGATGATGGGAAACATATCGGTGAAAACGAACCGATGGAAATCGTCTATGCGTAATGTCAGTCCCCTTGCATTCCACTGAAAAATTGTTGCTTTTTTGACCACTTCCCTGAAAGACAGTGGCTGGTGGGCCATTATCTGCTCAAAAGCTGCCAGTACTGGACTCAGAGCGTCCAGTACTTGAAGTGCACTTCTGGCTGACGTTGTGCGCATGTTGTTTAACACCGTGCGAATGGCATTAATTGTGGGTCGTAGAAGAGCAATCACTTGCATATACAAGTTCCGCTGCTCCTCTGTTGTCGCAGCTTGCTCTGATGAAGGCGGCTTATGATGTGGTTCTTCCACAAGTTGCGTGCGCGTAAGTGGCGGCCACTCTTCAGTAGAAAGAGATCTACTTCTTTTCTTTTCTTCCATCGTCTGCGTTCACTGCGGTGTACCCTGCAGTGGGCGCCGTTCCCAGATGCGTTGACTTACTTCTTGTAGTTGACTGTTTTCTTCGCGAAAACCTTCGACGGTGACGTCGTCGTCTTCGCCGGACTTTTTCCGCGGCCTCTTTGTGGGTAGAGCTGTCTCGCACCATTTGTCTAAGAATAGTAAACTCCTTCTTTATGCGTGTACAGTCTTTGGAAGATGCACTGTGGGCACCTTGACAATTAGGGCACTTTAGTATGGTTGCGCTGCATTTGTCCTCGGTGTGTGGTTCTGAGCATCGGGGCACACTTAGAAGTTCCTGCACGCACCCTGCACATGGCCGATCTTCTGGCACTTATGACATCGCATAGGTTTTGAAATAAATGGTCGCACCTGGTGATGAAAGTGGCCAACCTTCACATGGGAGGGGAGTCAGTCTTCTTTGAGCGAAATTTTCACACAATGTGTGTTACCAAGGCGGCCGACTTTCACAATGACGTTATCTTCATTTGCCGGTTTTATCAGCACTGAGAGATTCGAGTTTGGAATTTCAGTGGCGACGTCATAAATGACTCCTGTTGAAGGGGTGCTATCAGCTGGTATTATAGACTTGACATTGATGTTACCGAGTTGCGTTACTTTCTGAAGTGCGTTCAGCACATCGATTGTCAAAATTTTTTTTCTTGCGTTTAGTAGTACTTCTTTGATTTCATTTGGGGTAATATTCTCGAGATACACAAAAAGCGCTTGCCTGTTCAGCCCGCGTAGACGGTCGGTAGCCTTCAGCGGCACAAGCAGGATGTAGTGAGGCCATCGTTGAGGGGCAGTTTTTACGGTGGTAGTGCTTGATGCCGAAGATGCATTGACGATCCGTCGTTTAGCCTTGCGGTACAGGACGGGTTGGAAGCCGTCGTCCGAGGACTCGTCGCTTGATGCGGAGTACAGCTCAGTGTCCTCACTCTCACTAGACGCGTTTCCTCGCTTCCTCGAAGCAGTACCCGTGGTCGAAGCGGACTCGGACGGTGCCCCGTGAGGTTGAACATCCATCACCGCGATGTATGGGGCGATAGACCCCACAACTGCAGCGAAAAATCTAGAAAAGCACAAAGACGAGCAAGGTATGTTCCGTAAACGAATCACTTCGTCTTCCGACCCCGGGGGTCTTGTCCTTCGGCCGATCTTTCGGGCGGGGGGAGGAGGTGGCCCAGCGTACACGAAGGCACGTGCGCGATGCGAACTTTTCCTTCTTGAAGATCCGTGCCAACACCTCGCTGGTTCCCAGAACGTACGGGATCAGTACGCGTTTCGCGGCGCTGCCTATTAACGTAGATTGGGGCTTTCGTATCTTCTGTTGCTATGCGTGGCGGGTAGTGGTTCGAATGAACTTTTTTGGGTATACGTTTCTTCCGAGGTCTGCAATTACGCGGGCCTCTTCTTTCTTTCGCTCCGTGTAATTGGAGTATAAGTTCTGAGCTCTCAGGAGTAGCGCGGTCACAACCGAGGCCTTGTGGCAGGCTGTGTGGGAAGAATTAAATTGAAGGTAGCGGCCAGTTGAAGGTAGTTGAATTGAAGGTAGTGGCCTGCGCGCTCTGGCAGCGAGTTTAAGCGGGAGCGATAGCAACCACAGTATCTTTGCGCGTCGTTCGCGGCGAGCTCTTTCATCGTTCAATATAATATGTGCGTGGTCAAACAATCAGCATATAGAACCACTTAACGCGGTTATCGCTGCCGTTCATGTAGAGTTATCCGCACGAATAAAAATTCTCTCACTTCACAGCGGGGTAACCGACATCATACATTGAACATGTGCATTGTGCCAGCCTTGTAAAAACCGGACATTCACCGAACACTACAGGAAAGGCACGAGGCGCGATCCTTGTCGAGTGTGGGGTTACAACTTCCGAAAAACAGGGGGATGTATCGTAGATTATATGTTGTAATAAAGAGGAGGAGAGGAATAAACTTTATTATAAGAAACTAGCTGGTTTAGGTGGCCGGGCTCAAAGTGCTTTCAATTTGCTAAGAAATGTCCCACATTTAAAATTGCCCACCAGCCCCACTCTCCCGAATGCTTCGCATAACATCGATTCTCATGGTACGTGGGATTTACTATATTGTTTACTGAGGGGGAAACATTTGGAAGATTCCACAATGTTATGCGAAGCACGCGGATGGTTGATTGATATGTGGGGTTTAACGTCCCAAAACTACCATATGATTATGAGAGACGCCGTAGTGGAGGGCCCCGGAAATTTTGACCACCTGGGGTTCTTTAACGTGCACCCAAACCTGAGGACACGGGCCTACAGCGTTTTCAACTCCATCGAAAATGCAGCCGCCAAAGCCGGGATTCGATCTCGAGACCTGCGTATCAGCAGTCAAGTACTTAAGCTACTAGACCACCGTGGCGGAGCAAGCATGCGGAGGGAAAGTGGCTGTGGGTGGGTGGATGCAATATATTATTGGTGTCAACGAGCACGTTAGTGCGCAGTGGGCGACTCTCATGTCGGGACCGCCAGGCTGAACCTGTCAGTCGCTCCGTGTGCCTGCTGGACGGCCCAGGGCTGGTATGCACAGGAGGGAGCTGTGGAGGGCCGCTTCCCACATAGCCGCGTTTTAAGTTCTCTATTTATCAAAACGTTACGAAATGACGCTAAAGATATGTACAAATGTTGTGCACACAAACATATGTTGAACAGTCGCATGTTTTATATAAATCAGCTGTTTACACTTACGTAACGATGTCAACATTTGTATCGCCAACAACAGACACGGCAAGTTGATATGTAGCGCTTGTGCTTGCGAGGATGGTAGCCATGGATGCTGCAATGTAGACCAATTTCAGGGGCGCCATTTTCATGTTGTCCACGACATTACCACACAGTCGCATTCTTCAAACCCTTTTAGCCTCCCACAGTAATTGTGGTCAGCCCCAAGTTGAGGAGGTAATCTCGAGTGCACCCAGACGTAGGCGGCTAATAGGCAGAGACGTAGATAGCGAGACTCAAAGTGCCTGCAGTTCGCCAAGAAATGCTTAGTATTTAACACAACAAAGTTCCAATCACGACGGTAGATGGGTAGGCAAACACTAAGAAGCGCTGCCTTCGACGCCGGCTGGACAGTCACTTCTTAAAGAATAGACCAAACGAGTATGGAAACGTAGGACCAGTTCCTAAAGCTAAAGACTAAATGTTCCTGGAGAGTCTCAGCCATATACAATTTTACTCAGCCATATAGATCTCAGTCAAATATGTGTACCTCTTAATCATAATGAAGGTTTGAAGAGAAATTGCCGATTCGTAACTCTCTCTTTATAAAGACGTCTCAAGAAGTCTTATCCATCTTCGGAAAGGGAGCAAGGCAGATCATAAGCCTCTGTTGTACCCACAGCCGGTCACCTCGTCTCCACCTCACTTCGCCTCCACGCGCCCAGCGCATTCTCTTATCTCATTCATCACCTCCTCTCCCCTCCAGCCCAACATCGGCAAATTACACTGGCCGATCTACGTAACGACAACGGTAAAAAAATCGACTAAGAACAGCGTTCTTGTTGAAACGAATCTGACCATTTAATTATTTTCAGGCGTGGATCACCATCCCCTCACCGCCCTCTGCCCCACGCATCTAGCGGGTATTCTTGCTCACTTCGTCGACGATGCACTGCACGACATCGGTGGTGGACGCCGTGCCGCCGATGTCCCTGGTGTGTATCTTATGGACGTTAATCGTCTTGAGGATGGCGTCTCGTATTACGTACGCTTGACTCATCAGCCCCAGGTGCTTGAGCATGTCCACCGCCGCGTATAACGTGGCCACCGGGTTGGCCAGGTTTTTGCCGACCAGTGGCGTGCCCGTGTTGCGAGTAGCCGTCTCGAAGACGGCAAAGTCGTCACCGTAGTTGCGACCCGAAGTGACGCCCGCTCCGCCGACCAGTCCGCACGTCAGGTTGACGACGATATTGCCGTACAGGTTCGGCACCAGGAGAACGTCGAACTGGGACGGATTGGAGACCAGTTGCATGGAGCAGTTGTCGACGATCATGTCGTTCATCTGAATGTCCGGGTAGTCCTGGGACACCCGTCGGCACGTCTCCAGGAACAGACCGTCCGAGAGCTTCATGATGTTTGCCTTGTGAACCACGGTGACTTTCTTGCGTTTGCGGGAGCGCGCGTACTCGAAGCAGTAGCGCGCGATCTGCTCACTCTTGGCAAGTGTGATGATCTTGAGGCTCTCCACGACGCCCGGCGTGACCTGCACCGTTTGTACGGGAGAAAAATTAACGATAACAGATACACGTGTGATTGGCTTCAAGTTGAGCGGGTGATAATTTCCTTTTATAGAATGAAAGCTGTTACATGAGATCGCAATAGACGACGTTGGTGGCGAAGTTGTACGCCGCCCGTGAATTTACGTGACCGACGTCACGCACAAGAAGACAAAAAAATCTCGGCATACCCACGAAGTGAATTATTATGGGATCGTTCCGTGTTACCGTAAATCACCCGTGAAACTGACTCCTCACACACGTAAATGTATGCCAAGTGGTACTATACAATGTTTATTGGTCATAATTCTGGGAGTGTTGTGTGGAGTTGTCAATTTCGATTCGTGAATTACTGCTTTGTCATATCAGATATAACCTGAAGCTGACGAAGACTAGGTCTGCGCACGTTACCCTAGGGGTTGTTTTCAGTCATACGAAGTGCATCGTAGAGCATATCAAGACATCATCTACTGCACAAGCCAGTCGTCATCCGTGATCATTATCGTCATCATCTCAATGGTCATCAGCATCGTCGTTATTGTCATGGAGTATAGTTGTACTTTGCACGTGCGCTGCCATGATGGTAGAAAAAGAATGTGTGGTCTAGAACGCGCTTTTTTATCATCATCAGCATCATCATCATCGTCAGCGGCGGCTATGGCGCACTACACGGACGTCAACGCACAAACCTCTATCATAGGAAGCTTCGCCCCTGAAACATGTAATTGATCCCTCCATCATAGAAATCACTATAACGTGAAAGTGAAGCCTGTCCTTAGAGAAATAGTTCAGTGATGAAGAATGGTATAAGAGAACTTTCACAATGGCTATGGACATGTTTTAACGTGGATGCAGCCACGCTGACGCTTGGCGGGACATCTCTATCCCGATGACTAACACTCGAGATCAGTATGATTGAATGAACCCTTTTGTTAGCTGTAGCAGTAAGCGGTGAGAACGTAGTCCGAGAAAGAACTGCGACATCTAGAAGAACATCGCTGACTCGGCGCAAAAGTTGGGCTAACATCACCACGCCACGGTCCTGTTAGAGTTTAACACCCCGACACAACTAGAATGAACGCTAAGTGCACCGTGCCTCCACCGTTGCCCGGCCAAGATTTTATCGGGTTTGGAATAAGCGTGGAAAGCTGTAGTCAAGAGAAGCAGCACGCGTCGTACAGTCGTTGTAGGGGTGATGCTCACCCCTAAAGGTACTCGTCTTGCTAGGGACAAGTACCCCGACGCACCGTGTCCACTACTTCTAGAGTGAACGTGAGTGCCTTTGGCAAGCTCCCTTTCTCATCACCGGGAACGCAGGAAGTGCACATCTCCACACAGCTACTTATCAGGAACACCTTGGAAGCGAAGGCCGTTGCGCGGAAAGCTCGCAACGCGGGTCCGCCGCCAAGACCCCATGTGAGAGCTCGCGAGACCGAAGAAAGATGCCAGCGTCGCCAGCAATCGCAAGCCAGCACCAGCATCAATCCGGAGGAGGTGGCAGCGGCATAGGCTCCCGCAGCCGAAGCAAAAGCGGGCTGGTCGACGAGTGGACCCCGAAGTAAGGGCTGTTCCACGCGCTTCCCGCACCACCGCAAGGCATGTGCCGAGACCTCTACCGCATGCATGCGGGGGGAAAATAAGCCAATTGGCGACGCTGCGGATGCTGAAGAACGTCGCCAATTGGCTTACTTGTTCCCCGCTTGCGTGCGGTAGGGGTCCTGGCGCGCGCGTTGCGGCTGTGCGGGTCACCTATACAGCCACAGCTGTATAGTAGATGACTGCTTGTGGTTTGACAACAACCACACTACCATTGACTCCACCCGCAACGACCAGTCCCGTGCCAACGCTACCGCCGTGCTACAACGAGAGTTTCCAGTCACAGCTACATCATCGTCACCGCGTACCGATTGCAGTGAGTACCGCATTTGCTCCACGTAGAAGGATTGTACGGTGGCGTCCAGACACCTTCAGAGAGACGTGTATCAACATCGCCATCTTCAGCCTTCAACCACAACCTCTAATTCAATATCTCCTCGCCACATACTTCACCAGCCGCAAAAGTGTAGTTTTCAAAGGAAGATGTATTCCACAGCTTTGTAATAAGAAATGCAATCCTCGTATATAACTTCATCGATATGTACATCACATATTTTTTGTAAATCATTGTGTATATAATTACACCTATATGAAAATAAGAAACATTGTGTCATTCCTATAAAAACATGTCAAGTCTTTCTATAATGTGTGGGCGAAAGTTTCAAGTTTTTGCCATTAAGCATCGCAGCTTCACTCTACCCATCATCATTCACTTCGTGGATATGGCAGGATTTTTTTTATATACATGGTTGGACCCTATGAGCAAGACTGGCGCTTGGGCTAAGGTCGCCACCTCGTTGTGTGCTACAGCGTAGACATAATTGCACTTGCCTTTTGGAAACGTGCTGAACTGGACGAATACGTATTAGTTACGCGTTGCAGGAGCTAATTACGGGGGCCGCGGTTATTATTCGTTACTTTACCACCGACTAAGGAATCAAGGGCGAGAGGAAAGTATGTGATATAAAATGCGTGTCTGCACAGACACCAGCGTACGCGACCGTGGCGCAGTAGATAGCGTGCCAGGCTGCTGCTGTCGCAGAAGAGGTCTTAGGTACGACCCCCGGTGATCGAACTTTTTAAAAACGACAGTCTCTCAGGATACTTAAACGCAGAAATTTTGGTATGTCTGTGTTATGTTTGTCTGTCTGCTCCGTGATTAAGCCACCCAGGGAAAGTTCAAACCCTTGCTCAATGCCGAGCCATCTTGATCTCATGATTGCGTTCATAGTTGTGAACATTGTCAAAAAGCAAATCTTACGCATATCCGAGGCGCAACATAAATACGCAAGTGTGAGGAGGTTTATTAGCCGTTAGACAGCGACGAGACAGCGTCAAGAACCGTCCAGCGATCGGCACAGCAACGAACCGAAGCACGAGCCGAGAGAGCCAGGCGTTGGCGATGCTGCTCGCTGCAGGCACATCTTCTTCTTCACAATCGCCCCCGCTGAAAAAGGAGCCATCCTGGCGACTTAAGAAGTTTCAGGCAAAGGCTCATGGTACGGTTTCAGTCGGGAAACATGGACGATGTCACGTGCACGCCGGCGCATGTCGTCCGATCGGGAAACTGGTTCAATTAGGAAATTAACCGGAGAGGTTTTCTCCAAAACGGTGTAAGGCCCCTCGTACCGCGGGACAAGTTTCGAGGAGAGTCCCGGTGTTTGGTGTGGGATGGCAAGCCACAGAAGAGACCCTGGGGCATAGTTGGGATCCGGAAGAGCGGTGCTACGGGTTTCTTTCTGGCGTTGTTGCTCTTCCGAGGTGAACGCACGGGCGAGCTGGCGGCACTCTTCGGCTTGTCTAGCAGCATAGGAGATAGGTGGACACTCGGAAGCATCAGGACGGTAAGGAAGTAGGGTATCAATTGTATGGGAAGGCTCACGTCCGTAAAGAAGAAAGAAAGGTGAGAATCCCGTGGTGGATTGTATTGCGGTGTTATATGTGAACGTGACGTATGGGAGAACACGGTCCCAGTTGCTGTGATCAGATGCCACGTACATTGAGAGCATATCACCTAGCGTGCGGTTGAACCGTTCCGTTAGTCCGTTAGTCTGTGGGTGGTATGCTGTCGTTTTCCGATGAATGACGTGGCATTCCGAAAGCAGAGTTTCGACGATCTCGGAAAGAAAAGCGCGGCCTCTGTCACTAAGGAGCTCTCGAGGTGCACCATGTCGAAGGATAAAGCGTTGCAAATGAAAGAGGTGACATCCTGAGCTGTAGCGCTCGGCAAAGCGGCTGTTTCGGCGTAGCGTGTCAGGTGGTCGACCGCCACTATAATCCACCGATTACCATCTGGTGTCAATGGAAGGGGACCGTAGAGGTCAACGCCGACGCGATCAAATGGCTTGGCAGGGCATGGAAGTGGCTGCAATGCACCAGTCGCACGTGGCAGTGTTGATTTACGTCGCTGGCAGTCAGGACAGCACTGCACGAATTTACGTACAAAATTGTACATGCCGCGCCAGTAATAGCGATGGCGAAGGCGTTCATATGTTTTGAACACTCCGGCGTGGCCACATTGCGGATTGTCGTGAAGGGAGGCGCATACTTGCGATCGTAAAGTGCGTGGAATGACCAGCAACCACCGGCGGCCATCGGGAGCGTAGTTGCGTCGATGAAGAAGTTGATTGCGGATGGCGAAATGGAGAGCTTGACGTCGGAGGGATCGAGATACTGGAAGGTTGGGCGTGCCAGATAAATATTCGATAAGAGAGGCGATCCACGGGTCACGACGTTGTTCGGTGGCAATTGATTCAAGATTTAACGATGACAAGTACTGGAGGCACGTGTTTCCGCACGTCGGATCTGGTGGCAAAGGTGAGCGGGACAGGGCATCAGCGTCAGAGTGTTTGCGTCCGCAGCGGTATACGACGCGAATGTCGTACTCCTGGATGCGGAGTGCCCATCGCGCAAGGCGGCCAGAAGGGTCTTTCAGTGTGGAAAGCCAGCAAAGCGCGTGGTGATCAGTTACTAGATCGAACGGGCGGCCGTATAAGTACGGCCGAAACTTTCCAAGCACCCACACCAGAGCCAAACACTCTTTTTCTGTCACGCTGTAATTAGTTTCGGCTTTCGTCAGAGTGCGGCTAGCGTAGGCTACAACGTATTCTGAGTAGCCGGGCTTTCGTTGAGCGAGGACCGCGCCTAGCCCGACGCCGCTGGCGTCGGTGTGCACTTCGGTAGGAGCCGTCGGGTCGAAGTGGCGAAGAATAGGTGGGGAAGTAAGCAGACGGCGCAGAGTAGCGAAGGCAACGTCACATGCAGGGGACCAGGAGGTGAGGTTCACGTCACCGCGAAGAAGCTGCGTTAACGGTGACATGATAGATGCAAAATTGCGAACAAAGCGCCGGAAATAGGAGCATAGGCCTACAAAACTGCGAAGTTCTTTCATGGTCGTCGGCTTGGGAAATTCTGCGACTGCTCGAAGTTTTGCTGGGTCTGGTAATACGCCGTGCTTGGACATGATGTGGCCTAGGATGACGAGCTCGCGTGCAGTGAAGCGGCATTTTTTTAGGTTAAGCTGCAGACCAGCGTTGGTCAGACAACTCAAAATGTGCCTAAGGCGAAGGAGGTGCGTAGGAAAGTCATGGGAGAAAACCACGACATCGTCGAGGTAACACAGACACATATTCCATTTGAGGCCACGTAGCGTATTATCCATAAGACGTTCAAACGTGGCAGGCGTGTTACAAAGCCCAAAGGGCATGACGTTGAATTCATATAGTCCGTCTGGTGTAATAAATGCCGTTTTTTGGCGATCGGCTTCTGCCATTGGGACCTGCCAGTAGCCAGACCGCAAATCTAGCGACGAGAAAAATTCCGCTCCGTGAAGGGTGTCAATGGCGTCATCAATGCGCGGCAAAGGATAGACGTCCTTGCGGGTTATCTTATTCAAACGACGATAGTCCACGCAAAATCGGATAGATCCGTCTTTCTTACGCACCAGGACGACGGGAGACGCCCAGGGACTGTGAGATGGTCGAATGACGTCCCTACGAAGCATATCTTCGACTTGATCGTTGATGACGCGGCGCTCTTCAGCGGAGACACGGTATGGTCTTTGACGCAGTGGCTGGTGTAGGCCGGTGTCAACATGATGTTTGACTTGTGATGTGCGGCCCAGTTGAGGTTGCGACACATCGAACGAACTCCTGAACTCATGGAGAAGATCCAGCAGGTCGGCATGTTCGGTGGGAGTGAGAGTGTCAGCGATGGCGCTGGAAAACGTATCATTGGACGACTCCCCAAGTGCTGACAGTGCTTTTGGGTGGTCGCAGTAGTCGTCCGGGACCTCAAACAAAAACGAAGGGTCGAGATCCTGCATGCGGCCGAGACATTCCCCCGCAAGCAATGTGACAGGTGTGGAAAGCGGATTGCTTACGAACATGTTGCTTCTTCCGGCGGCAAGGTCAATTGTTGCGAAAGGCAGCGGCAAAGCTCGACGACATTTGAAGATATCGGAAGGCATAAAAAGAACTGTAGCGTCAGTGTAGGCGTTGCATGAAACGGGAACAAGGGCGAAATTTCCAGGCGGAATATCGGTATCTTCAAGAACGAGCAACTTCGGCGGCTGATGACGAGCGTCCAGTAATGGGACATCACACAAGGGCGAAAACTCAACTTCGGCGCGTGCGCAGTCAATGACGGCATTATGGCGGGATAGGAAGTCCCACCCGAGGATGACGTCATGTGAACAGACAGGAAGAACAATAAACTCCACGATGTAAAGAATGCCTTCGATGGAGACTCTTGCAGTGCAGGCTGCGAGAGGCGGTACTTGCTGTGCGCTTGCGGTGTGAAGCGACAGTCCCGAAAGCGGCGTCGTTACTTTGCGAAATAAACGGCAGAAATTAGCGGCAATAACAGAAACAGCGGCGCCAGTGTCCACAAGGGCGAAAGTACAATAACCTTCAACAGTTACTGCGACCACGTTAGCAGGAGAGGAGCGAGGGCTTAGACAGTTCGAAAACGGCGCAGTTCTTGCCTCTTGAACTGCGTTGCTTAGTTTTCCTGGTCGGAGGGTCCGGGCCGGCGACGCATGGGGGAGGGCGATCGCCGACGAGGAGAGGGTGCACGTTGCGGCTGAAAGTCTAGGTGGTCAGTAGGCGCATAGCGAGGTGGCGAGACCGGCCCGTATTGGACGAAGGGTTGGCTGCCGGGATGCGACGACCGGGCATATTTGCCGAACGTCTGAGGTCGACGGCGGCAGTAGCGAGCAACGTGTCCGGGAGTGAAGCAAGCGTAGCAAATCGGTCGGTTATCGGGCGTCCTCCAGGAATTGGCGACTGGTGCTGCCGCCCAAGGTGCAGTATAAGCAGGCAGGTGTGCGGGCTGTGAGCGCGTGGTGTAGGGTGGTTGCGGGAGCCTACGTACAGCGTCTGCATATGTGAGCGGCGCGGCTACGGGCTGCATCTCTTGTGAAAAGGCGACAGGCGGAGCCACAGGCTGCGTTGCATAGGTTAGGGGCGCGGCCACAGGCTGAACGGCTGGCGGATAGGCGACAGGAGCGCCTACCGGCTGTGCGACACCCGGGCAGTGACCACGGCTAGATAGAGGTGGCTCGTAGTGCGCACGAGGAACAGCTTGTGCAACCTCTTCCGATATAGCCGTGCGAAGTGGGGCAGGTAGACGGGTGGTGGTCTCGTGAGTAAAGGGCACTAGGGAAAGTTGGCGGGCGACTTCCTCACGGACGAAGACTCGGACTTGCTGAAGCAATGGTGAATTGTCGGGCATGGAGTCGAAGCTGGACAGCGACTCACCACCAGGCTGAGGCTGCCTAGTCAGAGTGCGTTGCTTTTTCAACTCGTCGTAGCTCTGACACAAGCTGACGACTTCAGAAACTGTGCTTGGATTCCTTGCCAAAAGCATTTGAATTGCGCCGTCGTCGATGCCCTTCAGTATGTTTTTGACCTTGTCGGATTCGGGCATGGTGTCATTCACACGTCGACAAAGGTCGACGACGTCCTCAATATAACTGGTAAAGGTCTCGCCAGTCTGCTGAGAGCGGACGCGCAAGCGCTGTTCTGCCCTCTGCTTGCGGACAGCCGGCCGACCGAACACTTCAGCACATGACGTCTTGAAGACGCTCCATGTGGGGATGTTGTGTTTGTGGTTATTAAACCACAATTCGGCGACGCCAGTAAGATAAAATATCACGTGGCCCAGCTTGTCGGCTTCATCCCACTTATTGTTGGCGCTCACCAGTTCATAGTGCTCGAGCCAGTCTTCGACGTCGGTCCCATCCGCACCGCTGAAGACCTTCGGCTCCCGTAGTTTAGGATGGCCAGGGCAGTTGAACTGGAGCGAAGGCGTCGATGTAGTGGCGTTGGCAGTCATGACAGGTGGTAGCGTGCGGCTTCGCAGCTCCAGGGTGTAGCAACGGGGATTAACAGCACCTTCCACCAAATGTGAGGAGGTTTATTAGCCGTTAGACAGCGACGAGACAGCGTCAAGAACCGTCCAGCGATCGGCACAGCAACGAACCGAAGCACGAGCCGAGAGAGCCAGGCGTTGGCGATGCTGCTCGCTGCAGGCACATCTTCTTCTTCACACAAGTATAAAACGTAGTGTGCTTCTTTAATAGATAATGCATGGATACGTCATTCGAAATACCCCAGTGTTTCTTACGCTGCGCTGACGCTATGCGCGAAAAACCGGGTGTTTCCTACGCTTCGCTAAGACGACACGGTGCACCTCCACCTATCTATGGCTCTGCGTTCTACTCAAGCTTTAGTTTCCAGGCATTACTGCCAGATGGCGTCCGTATCTGCCGCAGCGTTGAGGGCCTTGATTCCCGCTTCTCGCGTGCACGCGCATCGAGGCAACGCAGTGCCTACAGACAGATGACTATCGTCTTTCGACGACATTTGCAGCGAATCAAGCAGATACGTGGCCAATATTTTGTATTTACTTTTTTGTTATCACCGCATAAATTCGTGATGCGCCCCAATGTTCTGTGAAATCATGGTCATATAAAATAAGATAAAAAAGTAGAAACGGTGCTTGTAGAACATGGGCCGTAAGTTCCTCTTTTTCGTACGCCTGCCAAAGAAAAAAAGGCTACATTGCGCATTCTCAAGGTCGCTTTTCAATGCTCAGACTGACCTCGTGCTCTAGACAGCTGTACTCGCCCTCGGTGTTCTGTCGAATGATGACCACGTCGACGTCCGGGTGGCGCGTCCTGATGGCCGGGTGGTTTCGGCAGTGCACCACGTTCACGTACAGGCCGAGCTTGTTGCGCAGCAACAGGTTGCGCGGTTCAACGGCCGGACTGTACGAGCGCGTCTCCACGTTGCCCTTGATGGCGACGCCCGTGCGTCGGATAGACGTGATGGCGTAGTCCATGGAGGACGCGTCCTCCGTGTCCGTGGCCACGATCACCTTCTCGAAGTCCACCGGCACCTTGCGGGAGGTAAGTGGGAGAGTGCTTAATCAAACGGATGGCAGTAGCCATGCATTGCGTGATGAAATCAAAATGAAGCACTCGATCGATTGAATTTTCAAAGGGGCCTTCGACGGCTTCATAAAGGAGCTTGGTGCCTCAGAGATCAGTTCTCACATATTAAATGCGAAGCATTTCTTAACGAACTTCGGCAACTTTGAGCGTATCCAACCACCCACCCACCCACCCACCCACCCATCCACCCGTCCGTCCGTCCGTCCGTCCGTCCATCCGTCCGTCCATCCGTCCGTCCATCCGTCCATCCGTCCATCCGTCCATCCATCCATCCATCCATCCATCCATCCATCCATCCATCCATCCATCCATCTCACCGCCTACGACCTTTCGCTCTCCTGACCGTATCGATACAAAACTTGGTATGACGTAACATGACTGTATGAAGAACATATTTGATTAGTCACAACCTGAAAATCATGACATGGATGTCATAAATGTCAAGATTTACAATTCATGGTCCTGCAGCTATTGCGGTGGTTTCGTTCACATGGCATGTTGCAAAACTGGTATGGTATGACATGACTGCATAGCGAACACAAGCGACAGACCGTCACATAAAAATCATGACATGCGTGTCATGTAACAACATGAATACATGCCCAGCTCATGATGTGGTCGCGGCTGTTTCGCTAGCGTCAGATATACCAAATTTGGTATTACGATACGCGAAAGGATGACGAAGGTATGTGACTGGTGCAAGCAAAATAAACATGAGATCCATGTCATGTAAAAACATGACTACATGCTCACTGCATGACTACATGCTACATGCGCTCACGGCCGTTTCGCTAGCTTCACATGTACTAAACTCGGTATTAGGCCTCGCGAATGAAGGACATAGGTAAATGACTCATACAAACGTAATAACCACGACATGCATGTCATGTAACAACATGACTACATGCCACACTCATGATGCCCTCGCGGTCATTTCGCTAGCTTCACGCATGTCAAACTTGTTATTACATGACTTTAATAGATCATGAAGGTACGTGACTGGTGCAAACATGATAATCATGAGGTGTGTGTCATGTGAGAGCATGATTACATGCCACAGTCGAGGCGCCAATACATTTCGGCGTGTCATGATGCGCGTGCTCGCCGGCGTTCATTTCGACGTGTCAAACCAGCGTTGCGATATACTCGCAGGCGCGCACCGCGCTGCGTTGCTTTGACGCATGCGCGTTTCAGCGCGTCCGGCGTCCCTTCGTGAGGAAAAAGAGAGAGACGCCATGTTGTCTGGGCAACTAATCGACGAGAAATGCAGCATGTCGTATTTTGCACTGGTTGCCGTAGGGCCGCGCCGACGGACGCTGGGCGCACCGGGCGTCAGACTATAGAGTGCTGGCGTTTGGCTAACGTAGCGTCGCTGTGCCCAGCGTGCGCGCTCGTCAACGCTAGATTGGAGTATATTGGGTCCTTCATGATGCGCTCTCGGCCATTTTGCTAGCTTCGCATATACCAAATTTGGTGTTAAGTGACGTCGATGAATGAAGAAAGTATATGACTGGCACAAACATGATAATCCTGACACGCGTGTCATGTAAGAAAATGACAACATACCATGCTCATAGCGCGTTCACGGCCGTTTTGCTATCTCCACATATACTAAATTTGGTATCACGTGACGGGAATAGATGACAATGGTAAACTACACACCGAAACATGATAATCATAACACGGAAGCCATGTACGGCATCTTCCACCTCCACCTCGTTACGTTGTGTATATTTTAAAATGACCAACATTTTTCATTCGTGCTTCGCATATCATCGATTCCCACTGTACGTGGGATCGGCCAATTTTTTTTCTTTTTGGAATCGATCAAATACGAGCGAGGTCAGAGGACTTAGACGCAAGATTTAAGTGTTTTCTGTCCTCCTCATCACCAGCGAGATTGCTGAAAGTTATACGGAGAAAGGAGCTGACAAGGGCCAGGAAAAGCGTACATTGGTAAAAACTTGTGGCGAACTTCAGCCTTTTTTAGAAGCAAAGTTCCTCTTAGTCTAACCCTGTCACGCATCACGCGTAACTAACAGTATCTCCCGAACAGTCTCATTTCTTTTCTCGTATCATTTCCTACATGGCGCTTGTCTTCTGCTACATCCAAAGTGCCACTACTCCCTGATTAGCAGCTGCGCGCGCTTTGCCTGAGTGCACGGGAAACGAGTGACTCTTTAAGTCTCTAGATTGTCGCCGTAAGTGTCGGATCGTTCATGGGCCATGGACGAAGCAAGCGGCGGGCGCGTTGAAGACGCTCGAGCTTGGCTTCCTTGGCTCGCGTCTCGTCGGTGTTACCTGCGCGCCACCTGCATTCTGGAACGTGATCGGACGGAAGTACGGATGAACAGACAGACAGGCGGACGGACTGATTGAAGGGCCGAGGGATGGACACACAGAGAGACCGACAGACGGATGAAGACAGACATATAGATGGTCGGATGGACGCACAGACAGATAGACAAACAGACACAGACCGACAGACATACAGATGGACGGACGCATGGACGAACAGACGGATAGATCGACGTATGGACAGACCTACGTATGGATGGACGCACGGTTAACGCACGGATCAACACGCGGATGGATAAAAGCACAGATGGTCAGAAGCACGGATAGGCGTACGGACGCTTCGCCCCACTCATGATCATTCACTCCATGGATATGCTGTGATTTTTTTTCTTCGAACAAGAGGCTAACTTTCTGTGTGATCTAGAGCGGCGGCCCTAGGAAGTATATGCAGCTCACAATTCTCAATTCCGCATATAGCCGCGGACAGTCTACGTCACGGTCACTTGTGTTTACGACAGTATTTGTGAAGAGAAGAGTCAGCCATGTCTACGTGACTTGAAATATTAATTGTCGATTTCAGGCCTCGTGCAGCTTCGACTACAAATCGGCTCCATTTTCTGGCCATGCTGAAAAAGTGTTGAAGCAACCTTTAAGATCATTTTTATGCTCTATTACTTTCCGATAGGCAGCGACAAAAACGCTGCTGATGTTGATGCGCACAGACGACTGACAAAAACGAGACACGAACATTCCAATCAATAAGTCAATCAATCAATCCATCAATCCAGTTGCATCACCTACGGTGGCTTTTAGATTTCGATCTTCTTAAGTGGTATGGACCAGCGCTTTGCAACATTCTCACTTTCATTTCAAAATGAGGCTTTAAGGTCTCCTGAAAGCAACTTGAAATATTTACCGGAATGAGACGAGAATACTTGAGTGTGGATGACGTAAAAGATACATAATAATGAAGCCATTATGCAGAATTGCAAATCCAGGAAGAAAAAAAAATTGTGTAAGGCCAGTGTAACTGCGCACAGTTTGAGCTCGCTAAAGCGTAACAGACGGTCAAAATTGCTACAGCCCTTCACGGCGGCGTCCGTCAAAAGCGTATCGTGATTTTGGAACAATTAACCTAAGATAGCAATATAATTGGGATTTTTTTTCGCGCAGCAGCTAATAGGACTCTTGGATGGGCACCAACCTTTCCGTGGAAGAAGACGGTCTCGACGTGGTTCATCATCTCGGGTCCGATGCCGTGACCGGGCAGCATGGTCACGAAGAAGCGGCCCCCGTACTTGCTCGTCTTGTACGAGCGTCGCGAGGTGGAGGTGGGCGACGGCAAGCGTAGTCCGTGCTTGTCGCGGAGGCCGACGCCGCCGACCGGCAGCAGGAGTCGTCGACAGGCGCGCGCCGCCGAAGTCGTCGACGACGCACGCAGGGTCTGCAAGCAGGACAACGCCATGTTGTGCGAGCGTCCGGTGGCCCCTTTTTTTCTTCGATTTCCGTCGTTAGCGTCGTCTTCCTCCGCGCGTCGGGGCTTCAATGGGCGGCGGCCTTCGCAGTGCGTTCACCGCAGCACCACGTTATGTAATGCACAAGAAAGGCGGCGGGCTTCTTGTTGCGTTTCCGAGTCTGTGGAACGCTACGAAAGAAAACAACAACAACAAAATGCTCGCTGACGTTGCACGAGCGCCCGCCTCGTTGGGACGCGCGTGTCCTATGTGCACCTGTGTGCACGTGACTACGCCGTTTCTTTCTTTTTTTAAATGCGGATCATTTCTTAGCCGCACTTCGATTCCCGGCTGCGGCGGCTGCATTTCCGATGGAGACGGAAATGTTGTAGGCCCGTGTACTCAGATTTGGGTGCACGTTAAAGAACCCCAGGTGGTCAAAATTTCCGGAGTCCTCCACTACGGCGTCTCTCATAATCAAATGGTGGTTTTGGGACGTTAAATCCCACAAATCAATCAAATCAATCTTAGCCGCACGATGTCGTGTTTCGGCGTCGGCGGTGGTGCCATCTACACCCCCACTGCGCTTGCTCGCGTCTAGTGCCAACTCTCTGCCTGCAGACGTCTCATGTCCACCAGAATCCACAAGTGGAATTAACACATGACTGGGAAGGTTCTGTGTAGGAATGTTAGCTTGCTTTTCGTCTTCGTGCCAATCGTGTCGGTCCGCAAGACATGCCTTTCATGTACTGACGTTATCGCAATGCAGATATTTTTGATGCATATTTGAGAAAAAGTCACGGCTCTGCCACAGAAGCGTAGCAATGAACGCGATAGCAACAAATCAGAAGGTCACGCGCCAAATGGCAAGCAGATCAAAACTCGCCCCGCGTTTCTCACCCACAAATGACACCAGAAACGTACTCACAGCTACTGATGAACGCGAATAAGCTTCTGAGTTGTTACTTCGCTGTGTCTGAAAAGCGCACCCTTTTCGCTAATGGAGACTGTGCAACAACTGCAGGGACCTTTGTGCACCCGGTACTTACAACAGAGAAAGTTCTAGTGAAAGACCTACACCAGCGAAGACGTACACACATGCACATGCTATGAGTGCCGTTGCTTCGTCGATACTCCGATACTCTTTGAAAAAATAACGCTGGCGGCCGCGGGGCGGCATGACAGCTTGCGGAACTTGCGAGTACCCCACCACTCTGCGACGCATTTACTCGAGTTCCCCCGGAGGGAAGATGCACGCGGCATTTTAAAGCTTTCTTGGGGACCCTCGACGCAAAAACTTTGGTCTGTCTGTCTGTACGTTTGTCTCTTTGTCCACCGTAACCGCGAACCGGGTACTCTAAACAGCCCCAGCCGATAGCCCGAACGGCCGACCTGTATCAACACCACCTATAGACTACTAGGTTGTGTTGCCTATATCCGCAGCGCCCACCAGTATTGCTCAAGAATCAGCGTCCATACGTGTGCGATTGTCAATAAAAAAGCAATAATGCGAATATCTGAGGTAACATAACAGCAAGTATATATTCTGCATGTTCGCCTTTTACTAGAAAATGCATACATAAGTAATTCTAAGGACCGTAGCACTTATCACGCTGCGCTGACCATGTAACGCTTGCACGAAGAAGCGAGTGCTTCCAACGCTTTGCTAAGACGACACGGTGGTGGCACCTACCCATCGCCTTGCGTTCTACACTTTATCACCTATGAGACGGGCACGCACACCCGTCTCAGAGGCTCGTGTTTTGTCTAAAAAAAACAAACTTCCAGATGGCGCTTATGTCTCACGTGTGACGTGACTTGATGCGCTCGTTCCCCTCCGCTGCACGCTCGAGGCGCTCTAACGCAGCACCTCCGCTATACCATTCACCGATTTTCTTGCACAAAACATCAAATAAACGTTTTGTTCTCTCTTTCTACACGCAAGACTATCGTCTTTCGACGACATTTGCGGATTGCATGCAGATACGGCGCCACTTTCTTTTTCTTGTGGCACGTCAAACACACTTGTGTCCTGTGGCCGTCCATCAATTCATGCCGCGTATGTACGGCTGCTGTGCGCATTGTGGGGTGCTGGCCGACACCTACTACATGATTGCAGTATGCCTTGCCATAACTCTCCCCTTATCATTCCTCTTCAGTAAAAGAGCGAGGGATTGTGGGATGCACCGTCTGGTACCATTTTCCGGTTCGAGAACAGTAGACGACGGCAAGCCGCTTCGTTTAAGCTTCAGATTCTTTGCGATTCGCGCACGTGGTCGCCCGTTTATCTTCGTCCTGATAAATCATGGCTGGTTGTTCAGCCGTTGGCTGATTGATATGTGGGGTTTAACGTCCTGAAACCACCATATTGTGACGGGGCGAAGTCTAGGCTTATAGGATAGCGTCCACCGAGAATCGGCAGCCGAACAAGATGTCTGAGTTGCCTCTCGCGCAAGCGCCTAATGCACAGGCGTCTTCTTCATCTTCGCAAAGTGCCACGCTTGCTTCTGTCGATGATGCACCGTAACATCACTCCCCTGCGGCGGAAGCGCCGTCACGGCGCTTAGTACGCTGGTGACGAACGAGGAGGGTGATGCGGTTTGAGTCTGGGAATGTGTACAACGTTTGTCTGGAGTAAGGGGGTCGAAGAGGCATTCTTTAGGGGTGCGATCTCGTAGCTCACGTCACTAAGTTGTTGTAACACTTTGTAGGGGCCATGGTAGTGTGATAGTAGCTTCTCTGATAAGCCGACTCGGCGGTTTGGTGTCCAGAGAAGTACCAGAGACCCCGGCGAGAAGTCAACGCTTTGGTGGCGACTGTCATAGCGGTCTTTTTGCTGCGCTTGCGACAAGTGCAGCCGATCACGGGCAAGCTGACGGGCTGCATGGGCTCGAGAAACGACATCGCTGGCGTACTCTATAGACAAGGGGGGCCGCCGAAGGACGGAGCGTGTCAAATGGTAATGCTGGATGTCGGCCAAATAGCAAATAAAACGGCGAATAACTAGCTGTGTCGTGCCATGAAGAATTGTGCGCGAATGTGACAAAAGGGAGTGATTTGTCCCAGTCACGGGGATCTGGCGAAACCTACATTGACAGCATCTGCGTCAGTGTTCGATTCAGACGCTCGGTCAATCCATTTGTCTGTGGATGGTAAGCGGTAGTGAGCTTGTGCTCAGTGGAGCAGGCACAAAGAATGTCATCCACAACACGTGAAAGAAATACCTTCCTCGATCAGTAAGCAGCTGCCGCGGAGCGCCGTGATGAGGAATGACTTCATACGAGAGAAAGTCAGCGACGTCAGTGGAACAGCTTGTCGGCAGTGCTTCAGTGATGGCAAAGCGTGTGGCGTAGTCTGTGGCTACTGCAACCCATTTATTTCCAGAGATGGACGTAGGAAACGGTCCCAACAGGTCAAGGCCAATACGGAAGAATGGTTCCGTCGGTATGTCAATGGGCTGTAGGAGGCCAGACGGTAGCACAGAGGGGCGCTTGCGGCGTTGGCAGCGGTCGCAAGCAGTGACGTAGCGAACCACAGAACGATTCAGTCCGGGCCAGAAAAAGCGACGTCACACACGATCGAAGGTACGAGAGACGCCTAGGTGACCGGCTGTAGGTACGTCATGTAGTTGTTCGAGAACTCTGGTACGCAGGTGATGGGGAAGCACGAGTAGTAATTCCGGGCCATCAGCGTTGAAGCTGCGATGGTACAGAATGTCGCGGTGCAGTTCGAACAGGCGAACGGAAGGGTCTGTTGGAGCAGAGGTCAGACGCTCGATGATGGAGACTATCGACGGGTCACGTCGTTGTTCGATGGAGATGTCACCCAAAGCGTGGATGGAGAGAGCGCAGGGGTCTGAATCAAGGTCTGTCAAGTCGGGCGTTTCAACCAGATAACGCGACAAACAGTCTGCGTCTGTGTGCAGGCATCCCGACTTGTAGTGGACCACGAACGAGTATTCTTGCAGACGGAGCGCCCAGCGACAGAGACGTCCAGATGGGTCCTTTAGCGATGACAGCCAGCAAAGAGCGTGATGGTCCGTAACAACAGAAAAAGTTCGGCCATGCAGGTAAGGCCTGAATTTCGCCACGGCCCACACTAAAGCTAGGCATTCATGCTCAGTGATGGAGAACTTCCGCTCGGCAGGTGAAAGAAGACGACTGGCGTAAGCAATCACGCGGTCCTTCCCATGCTGTCGTTGGTCAAGGACCACTCCAATTCCATGGCCACTGGCATCGGTCCGAAGCTCTGTAGGTGAGGCAGAGTCGAAATGGGCCAGTATATGTGGCGTAGTCAGCAGATCGATAAGAGCCGAAAAGGCGTCCGCTTGCTCTATGCCCCCTGCGAAGGGAACGTCCTTCTTCAAGAGATCAGTAAGCGGTCGAGCGATGTCGGCGAAGTTGCGGACAAATCGACGAAAATAGGAACATAGCCCTACAAAACTTCGGACGTCTTTGGTTGAGCGTGGTTCAGTAAATTGTTGTACTGCTCGCACCTTTTCGGGATCTGGTTGAACACCATCGGTACTGACAAGGTGGCCGCATATGGTGATTTGGCGACGTCCGAAATGGCATTTTGCAGAATTGAGCTGGAGAGCAGCTCTTCGAAAAACATCTAGAACGGCTGACAGACGTGTCATATGGCTGTCAAAGGTAGGTGAAAAGACGATGACATCGTCCAAGTAACATAAGCAGATGGACCACTTATATCCTCGGAGAAGGGAGTCCATCATGCGCTCGAAAGTTGCCGGCGCATTACACTGTCCAAACGGCAAGACTTTGAACTGGTAGAGGCCGTCGGGCGTAACGAAAGCGATTTTTTCACGATCCAAGGGGTTGACGGAAATTTGCCCATAGCCGGACTGAAGGTCGATAAACGAAAAGTATTGGGCACCATGGAGGCAATCGAGGGCGTCATCAATCCGAGGCAAAGGGTAGACATTTTTGTGGGTCACTTTGTTTAAATGGCGATAGTCAACGCAAAAGCGCCAGCTGCCATCCTTCTTCTCAACGAGAACGACTGGGGAGGCCCAGGGGCTGG